TCAGACAGTTGTCTTTATTTTGAAATATTCTCTACTTTTAAAAAGTTTACACAAGCCTGCTTAATGTTCTGTTGTACATCTGGTTGCAGCTGTATGTAACGGCATTGTGAAGCTTCATTTGCTTCACAGTCCAAGAATGAAGGTTGACATCTATCTACTAAGCCACCAGATCCTTTGCTAACTGTAAGATATTGCATCTTAACTCATTGATACACAGCAGCACTGTGCTTTGTGAAGAAGGCTCTTGTGTGCTTGCAATCTGCACGCATTGTGTTGTGTTTCCGGTCATAGGAGGGACGTCTACTGGATAAGTGGCAGGAGTGAGAGACATAAAACGTGAGGCTTTATTCTCAGTCACCAGTATTCCTGCAGCTGATTGCACAAGGCCACATTTACAGAAGTACTGAGTAAGTCAAAGAAAGCCTGTGGTGTTCAACACCTTTAGTAAAAGAAGTGTGCTGTGTGTACCTCACCTCTCACACCTACAGATAATACTTCCGTGCCTTAAGGAGGATTGCGTGATTTAACTCCCGTATATCTGCTCTGCTTGAAAAGTGCTATATAAGCACAGAGGATCTTTCTTGTGGGACTTCAGCTTTAAATTAGCAGTATTTTGTTAAATCAGTGCAGTTGCATCAGCAGAAGTACGTCACTAATACTTATAAAAAATCAGTGCCACAAGCAGTAGATTGCCTCAGGGATGAAAAGCTGGCCTCTAGCCATCTTCCTCTGTTTCACCAGGCCTCCTTGGTTCATCCAGGCAGCATGGGCTGGAAGTTATGAGTTCCACCTTCCTGCTCCTACCGCTCTCAAGAGAGACAAATTAGAAGGTCAGTAAAGAAAGGCTACCGCTACCGAAAAACCTTCCTTTCCAGCACCTGAGAAGGTAATTGTGTACATTTAGTGAAAGTACATAAACGAAAAACAAACTCACAGAAACAGTTTGGACACAAATTATTTTGAATGTGTGCTTTCTAAATGCATTGTTTGCATGTTTCTGGGTATAAAAATGTACTGTGTGTCGTGACTGCAATATATATATATTCTCTTACAGTCTTAACCTCAGTCTTAACCAGAATATGGATTCTGCCTGTAGTTGTAGGCTTTGTCATCTGTGTCTGGTCTGTTTGGACCAGATCCGCATAGGTATTTTTGGTATATCCCACTGCAATATCAGTTATGCGGGTCTTGATATTTTTCTATTCAAAATTGCTCACAAGGTGTTTTGAGTTGGATTGAGGAAAGAGGAAAACCCCACAGACTTCACATGGAGCACGAGCAGTGTCGTCGCCCCAGTTCAGAAGGTACATAGCACAGCAGCTCTTCAAAATCCATATAGGTTTTAATTCAGTAAAAGCTTTATGGACAGTGAATTCTAACTTGAAATCATAAAATTATCTGACTGATTAGTACAAGATACATTGCAGTGTGTTGGGACCTGTAGATGAGAAAAAATTCCATGAGCCATCGAAATTGCAGGTAGCATTATTTCCATATGAAGTTATTCAGTAATTCTAAGCAATTTTCTCCCTAGTTAAGGCTGGTCCACATGCAGAAAGCACTCCACACATGGCTCTGCCCCTTAACTAGTTGATGCCAAGTAAATTAACTGTGTTAGAGGAAGGTGTCACAGTTGCTCAGCTTAAAATTGCATTTTAATCAAAACTAAAAGTAAAAAATCAATATAGCCTTTGCTGCTTTATAAGTTGTTATGATTTTGTACGCAGCTCGACAGAGATGCCAAAAGTTGAAAGGCAATTTAAAATTTCAGGAGTTTCTTATAATCAAAGGGGAAGAGAGCCAGTTGAACTGAGCCTCAGAATCTGGGCTTTACCTAGCGTTTGGTTCAAAGCCCTGCATTTCTTTAAAAATTTCTTTTTATTTCTGCTATTAGGAAGGTGCTACAGCGCAGCAGGCTCCTGGGAAAGGATCGGCAAAGACCTCCTCCACCCCCAGCGCCCAAGCGCCTGCAGGTGCCTCCCTTGTTGGTAGTTTGTTACTCAGGTACATCCCATCCCTCTAATGCATTTGGTTGCGTATTTCCCATCTTGACTGAGAGGAACGTTGTAGGATTTATCCTGCTTGAAGGCAATGAGATTCATAAACTAGGTGCATGTAATTCTGCTGAGGGCTGCGATCCAGTGAGGGCGTTCAAACTACCAACCCTTTGCAAGCGCTGAGTTCAGCACAGAATAGTAGCCACATCAAGACTTTCACTTGATAAATGGCCAGACAAGGTAAAAATATTCAGGTCTTCCCTTAAACAGGAGAGAGTTTTTCCTACTGGGTTAAACTGCTTATATTTTTAACAATAAAAAGGTAATTGTCGCACAGCTTGGAGGGTTGCTTTTGTTTTGAATAAAAGAGTGAGCCAATTTTCTGTACTTCTTTGGGCATCATAGTGCATGTGAGCATTTAAGAATGCGATTTTCAGTCTAACAGAGAGACTGCTATCTAGCAAGGTTGTAAGCCTTCAGAAAATATGTAGGTTTTCTGTGTATACTTTTTTCCTTTTTTCAGCAATTTGTCTTGGCTAGTTCAGGAGTCTCCCTACTGAGCAGGCTAGCTGTTGCGAATCCTGTTCACTGGGTAATGTATGAGTGAGAAGAGAAGCTGAGCAGTTGCCCCACTATACAGCAGAGAGCATTTCAGAATGCAGTACAAAGGGCCTGGAAGCTTTTCCGAGAAGACTACTTGTACTTAAAGTTGAAACTCATGTCATCATTTTTTTTAAGCTACTTTCAGTAGTTTGAATATTCATTAACCCTAAATAATGACAAACTAGGAGCCAGTCACTATAAAAAAACCCTTCCCCAAAACAAAACAAAACAAAGCAAAATCCAGAGCACCTCCAAAGTTTAGAAGAGTTCAGGCAAAAAAAAGGAAAAAACATGGGACTAAGATCCATCTGTGCTTTGTAATGCTTAAGTCATCACCAACAGGTGGCAGATACTCTGTAGAAATTGCTTAGCTGAATTACTCCAGTTTGTGGGGTATGCAAGGCATCTACCCTTAGTCCTAACATAGTGCTCTGTCAAAAACTCAGGTTATTTTGGAGGTGCAGACAGCACACAAGCTCTGTGCATTATTACATTTTCAGATACACTACCTGTTATGTATATATTTATTAAAAATTAACTTCCCTTTTATATTTCCTGAAACAATAGGGTCCAGTCCTAACACAACAGTGCCTAGCTGCGTCTAATTTAATAGGTGGTTGCAAGAATATCTAGGAGCAAGCTGATACTGACCATCACTTCCTTCCGGGCTCGGAAGTTGACACCTACTATTTCAGATATATACTCCAATTTAGAAATATTCTACATGCCATTTCCAATGACTTCTGCAGCTGAGTAGGCATGAGCTGAATGCAAAAGCTGTCTGTCATGTAGCCTCATGTTCCCACTTAATCTTCATGCAAAGAAAATTATTTTCCTCCTTCATCATATTTTGTTAGATTTTTCCAGGCAAAGTTGGCCAAAGAATATCATTCTTTGAAGACTAACAACAAGCAAGTTAGTATGTGCTGTTTCTCCAGTACTAGCAATGACGTTCTGTGAGCTCGTCTTGCTATCAGGGGAGCTAGGTACTATTTTTAGGACTGATCTCACAGCTGTCTTGGTTTCTCCCCCAACTCATTATGAGGTGCAAGTGAATATGTGATTGGAAAATGATCTATTTGTCCAGAACAGACCTCTGCCTAGTTAAGCTCCCTATTTCATTCAGTATTAATTTACATGAGGTGGATAATATTCACTGTTCATGTAAATATGTCATCTACTCAGTCTACCGAGACCACTTGCACTACTGCTTGATAAAATTATGGGTATGTGGGTAGTGTCTCTGTGTCCTGTGATAAAATTTCCATCATATTGCTGACAGTTATAAAACAAAAGGCAACCCTTTGCCAAGGTGCTGTCTGTCCTATTGAACTTGGACTTTTCTGGGCCTTGATGAATGAATGAATGTATCTTGTAGGTAGTAAACTGCAGCATAATGAACAGAGCAAAGAGGAAGTGCCTGGGAGAGCTGCGCTGAAGCCTAGCACCTGGTATGTCAGGAATTACAGATGATATTGACTAAAATGCATTTCAGTTTTGGGCATATGTGCACACTACGGTGGTGTTATTTTGTAGTAGAGATATACAGTGTGCCAACACAGTTTCAGAACAGCCAAGTGGCATGTAAAGGTTTCACGTCTGAAGAGAAGGCTGAGGGGCGCAAGAGCAAATGAGAGCATAGCGATCCTGTGCTGAGCTTGTTGCAACCTGAATCAAACCAGCTGTATAGCTGTCTGCACTACTGCACGTGCATCACTGAGACCTTTATTATTCATAGATTTAGCACTATGTTTTGTAATTAAAAAAGAAGATAATCCAAGTGTTTTGTATTAATGTTGCCACTCAGTAAACAGTGCATGTGGCATATGTGTGTGCAACATTTAAATGCATTTGAAAAAATATTAGGTGAAATTTATTTCTCTAGGTGCTAGAAAACTCAAATCACTGCTCAGAAAATATGTAGGAAACACCTATCAGTGGACATTTTCTTTGGCATGGGAGGTGATAGAAGGAGAAAAATCTGAGAACCCGTGAAAGCAACTGATGTTGCCAGCCTGAATGAGTTGGATAGTGTTAAGGCAGATGGTATCTTACTGTGGCAATGGAATGCTACCACTGAATTGATATGCAATATGCTTTATTGTTTTCTGATCAAAGTATAGGACTAAAGCTTGTATTCCTGCACAGTGAACATTTCCTTTTAATCTGTGGTTGAGGCCCATTTTACTTAGCATCCATAGCCTCTGTATTCTGTCAGATATTATTTTAGGGAAAAGCTGTCCTCTTCTATTAAATGGGTATACTACCCTGTTTGTCATAATTTCAAATAACCCTTTTGCTACCTAACCCTTTAAAAAGACCTAATGCTACTAGCAGAGACTAGTAATTATGGATGCCAATCTTGCTTCCATCTGTGGAGCAGAGAGCTTAAGTCTGCTCTTAAAAATAAGACAATAAATAGACTTTCATTTGTCTTATAATGATGCTGTGCTTTTTCTTTAAAACAAAAGTCTGTGACACCGTCATCGCATCTGTAACGGTGTATGTGCATAATAAAACTCATCTAGGTTTTAAACTCTGCTTATTTTAATAATTTATCACAATGCCAAAATATTCTATAGCATAAATATGTAAACATTTCCTGCATCTTCACATGCCTCTCCCTATTTAAAATCAGTGGCATTATAATGAAGGGAGCAGAACGGGAGAGCGTAGCAGGGTGCAAGCCACATAGACGTCAATAGAGTAACATGAGATAAATGAGGATGTCTTCCACTGCCTTAGAGAAGCTAACGTAATAAAAATCTATGCTTTTCCTTCAGCCTTTTCTCACCCGCCAGCAAGTTACACTTAGTGAACTGGATTTTCCTGAACTGTTCAAGCAATGGTAAGGTGCCAAAAATTCTAATTTTAGGGGGCAGGAGTATTTTTAAACCAAGAGCCAGACTGGAGCAGTGAGCCATACAGTTGAATCAGCAGAGGTAGTGAGTTTACAGAGGGCTGGTGGTGGGTAGATGGCAACTGGAGCAGCTTGAATCTGCTCACTGCTCACAAAACAGTTCTGGGGAACTACAGTGTTTAGCGCCCCTTCTGCATATAATACTTGTCAGAGTGGATGTAAGTGGATGTGAGTCTCCACTATTCACATTATTCTAGTATTTGGCCCAAGGATCTGTGGCATTGGACAGACCACTGATATATATTTACACTAATTTTTCTGCTTGCTGCAGAATTTTATGATGGGGGCTTTATTTTTTTATAATTAATGTTAGATGTCTGGTTTAAATAAAGAGGTCTAAAATTTCCTAAATACTTTTTTTTTCCTTTTTCTAATCTTGTAAACAGCAAGAAAATTAGGAAAGTTTCACTACAAAAAAATAACGATATGAGAAAGTTAAATACCTGTTTCTAATCAGACGAAAGCCCAGTTTCCTTTTCCTTGGGATTGTGATTTAGCATTCATCCATTTATATTTTTAGCCCAGAAACAGAAAGAATTGTTCTTTGAGAAAGAATTCATCTGAAACAGATTAAAATGTAATGTTAAGGTGCAAAAATGAAGCAAGAAAACAGAGTTAAACTTTTTAAACAACCAATTTTTTTTTGCAGTAAAAAGTCAAATGCGTTCCTGTAAAATGTCTTATCAACTGCCAGTAAACAAGACCATACCTTCCAAAAACCGGGGGACTCCCTATCTTATCTCCTAAACACCTGCTCAGAGGTAGTTGCAAAAATCGGATTTGGATGCAGAGAAGAAAATGCCATATTCCCAAAGAACTCTTGCTGATGGATTCCTGAACTGGGGCCCTCGGCCAGAACAGCTGCTCGTCTCCTGGTGAACGGAGGGGTGCCTGGGTACCGACGGTGAGCTGGGATTAATAGCGCAGTCATTGCGTTGGTACAAGTCGTATCACCATTGAGTCTAAAGGCATACGTGATCCCCATTTGTATTAAAAAATACCTTCTGTGATTGTTTTATGGGAAGGGGAGAGAGAAGGCAGAACTACCTGTGTGCTTAATTTCTGATATTTTAATCGAGAGTGGACTAAATTAGAATCTTTTTTTGTGTATGTGTGAAAAAGTATACCTTTAAATAGTATACCTTTCAAAAAGGGAGGCAAAATTGTAATGCGTCCCTCATACACAGTCTGTATCTGGATCAGTTTGATGTGCAGTTTGCTTTTATTGGTGCCTTCATCTGAAAACAAACAAATGAAAAGCCCAAAGTTGTAAATTTTCACAGGCCAGGGCTAGGAATGAGATGGCAATGCTCTGCACCAGGATAAATCAGATGCTACTAACAGAATTTCAATACTAAAGGTTAATAATATCATCATCAGTAGTTCTTGAAAGAGTCCTGACTGCCTAAAGGCAACTTAATTTTAAACACTGAGACAAGTCAATCAGTATACACCTAAAAATATGCACCGAGGGATGCAGTTTGCATACATTACAACCTTGTTTTTCAGTCTATCCAGTGAGATTTTGAATTCTTTTGTTTAGTTATTTTCAAGAATGTAGGCATACATCTTTTTGTAGGATAAGAGACTGATTGCTGCTGGTCATTGGGTAGAAAAAGTGAATTTCTAGGGGAATGGCAGAGGCACCAATAGTTTTTCACTCAAAATCATGGGCTTCCTATGCTAGTGTTAAAACATCTCCCCGGGATATTTGTCAGGTGATAGAGGGATGCTGATGTGTTGCAAATGTAAATTTCAGATTAGCCAATGTAAATTGCCTGCGGCCTGAGAGGTTAGAAGGTGGGCTGATTTTCCCATTTTTACATTTTGTGTTAACAAAAATTGATAGCGTGTAACATTTAAAGTTGCCAAGGGCAAAGCAGAAAGGAAAATATATTGATGTCAGTTAAGTCATCTCAGTGCTCTTGGGAGTAGTACCCTGGATCATGAGTAAATGGATGTTTCTGACCAAGTGCCAACAGTTTTGGCAAGGTTGTGTGAAGGAATTAATCTCTGGAATTTAACTTTTTCTTTTTAAAAAATGACTCTTTTGAGTTTGAAGTGTATTGTAATTTATGTTTCATGGAACCCAAACAGTGTAGATGAGGCAGGAAGTAACTCACTTCCACTTGACGTTCTTGGTTACACTTGACCTACAAATTTTAATTTTTACCCTAAATATACTGTGATCAGATTTATTGTATGGGTAAATTATTGCACAGCCTGGTAGAGAAATTATTTATATTTGTGTTTATAAGGGTAAATTTTTAAAAAAGTATTAGTTTCTAGTCATCTGCTTTGACTATCAGCCTCAGAAAGAAAATATTTCTGTACCTTTTGAGCCACATGGAAAAATAGGATTTGTGGAAGATAAGCTACCTACCCATTGACTGCAGGAAAGTAGTAGAGCAAACCTGATTTTAGGTGTGATTTAGAAAGGATTTAATGGAGTTGTGATTTTATGAAAGGCTTTGCACTTTCCAACCTGACACTAGTCATTCTGAACTGTCATTTTGAAAAATTGTTGCTAATTAGGCTTGATAACTAACACTGCAGCAAACTGTCAGAGAAGAATTGGTGGCAAAATATTGTATCTACAAGATAGCAGTTCTCAGACTTTCTCCAGTTTTGCGTCTGTGGGATGCATGCAGCTCTGTCTGTGCCTCTCCCTTAAGAAGCAGTACAGTAGAAGTGGACTCATCTGAAGTCACCTTTGGGTGGGTCCTGTCTCTGCTTGAACAAGACCATGATGAAGAGATGCACCTCTAAGTCAGCAGCTGCCTTGCATGCTTTTTGCCTGAGTCCCTGTACTGATGCGGTTTGCTTTGCATAGAAATTGACACACAAGCTAATATACTGCAACACATTTTTAGGAAATTTAACATTTGCTTCTGGGAAAGACATTTGCTTCCTATCCTTCCCTATAGTAGGCAAGATCCACATGAGACATCTGCTTTATCTGCACAATTAGAAGGAAGGATCATGTGCTATTTTGCAAATACGAAATAAAAAAAAAAAGTATTCTTAAAGAGCTTACTGGTGATATGAATGAAAAGAGGTAAACTGGGGTATAATATAAGATCTTTGATTCCATTTATTTTTATGTTCCATTGCCTTTTTACCACTTCTGTTTGGGTTAGCTTTTTGACCTTTCATCAGTCTTCTGAAAAATAGCCTAAGAAAAAGATTGTTGATGGCCAGTTTGTGCATTTCCCTTGCTATATTTGTTGAACCAAAGCTGCCTTTCCCTTTCAATTCAGTTCTTCTTTCTCTAAGTCGGATTCCTCAAACCTTTACTAAGTGCTATATGTATTTAAAAGTGTTTATAAGTATATACAGATCCATGTGTGCGTATCACTTTTATAGGCCTGCATTATTTTTTTCTTATTTTTAGAGTTTTTAAACTTCTTTTGGCAATGGTACTTTAAAAAGCATGTTATTTTAGAAATAATCTCTGTTGGTTTGCATCTGATTTTATGAGCACTCATGAGAACAATCTCATTAGTTTCAGTAAAATGTGTGGAAGATGTTGCTGATATCTTTAGATGAATATTAATTTTCCAAACTTAAAAAAACCCCTATAAGTCATGTATTGTGCAACATGATTACAACAGATGAAATATTTACGCTTGTTGACGGGAAAAAATATTCCTATGTCTTGAGCTGCGATATAGGAATCAGGTTTGTGTTCTTTGACCTTGTTGCTGTCTAGCTGCTTTCTGTACTGTATACCCTCATTAAAAGCAGTGAAAGTTAAATGAATGTGTAGAACGAGGGCAGTGTGTGGGTCTAATTACTGCAGCCGTGCGTGTGTGATAATGGGCATTTTGCAGCAGAGCGCGTAACAACAAAGACAACAGGCGTCAAAATTTGAAGGTCTGGAAAATAGTGGGCAAGGACACCTTAGGTTTTACTCCCTGCTGTAGCAATTAATCACTGTGAGGACCTTTTGGTTGAATCTTTCCTCCACCAAAATTTTCCTGGAGAGGCAGAGGGCACAGTTTCCCACCCACCTCCCACTTCGCAGTGGTACCAGAGGAGGACTCTGTTCCCATGCTCAAGATCAGGTAGCAGCAGGTCCTTCTGGCTCTACTGCCGCATCTTCCCAGCAGTGCTGTGGCCCTCTCTCTCCCGCTGCCTCTGGCTCCGAGACCCTTCCCTTTGGCATTATACATGAGCTCTGCTGAAACTCTCACATTCTATTATTTTCTCTTTATGGTATCTGTAAGGGAAGGCAGTCCCTGTTGTTGCCTTTCTCCAGCTCAGGCACCTGTATTCCTCTCCTTTAAGTATCTTCTCTCTGTCCTTAGAGGTCCTTGAGTCTTCTTTAACAAGGCGATTGGCAACAGGCAAACGTGGAGAACATACTCCTCCCCGCTGCTAATTTCAGCTCAGAAGATCAAGCTTCAGTTCATCTTCAACTCGGAAAATCAAGCGTAGGCATACATGTTACAGATCATCATTGCTTATAGTGGATGGAAGAAAATGGAGGCTAGTTACCATATATATATATTTGTGTACATATAGTTATATATAAGGGGCAGTGTCACAGCTTTTGCAGCAACTTCATCAAAAATATTCTCTCTGCGTTTGCAGTGGGCAACTTGCAATCTGTAATACACAGAAAAGGGATTTTAGGGATCCTTTTTCCTCTGGTTTCCAACAAGCAAAACAAATGAATCCGTCCGTCCTGGTGATACATATACAGGCTATATATGAGAATTACACCAACAATTACTGTTTAGGAGTGCTCTGTATGCAGATGCCACGTAGAGCACTGAAAATGTATCACATAGTTATGAGAAACACAATAGGAATCTTTCTGCAAGTAAAATAATTATATTTTCGCCACGTTGGAACCAAACAATCTAGCCAGCTCTAAGTCTTCATTCACATGTAAAAAGATCATTTATGCATTGTAATGCACCCTTG